TCTCATCTCCCCAGATGAGTCTTCCAGCTCCAAGGACTGGTTTGGGGGGGACGGGGATGGACACGACATGACAGGGCTGGAGTAAGGGGATGCCACTTTATCTACTACCAGCTGAGAGGCATGCTACTAGTCCCTTTGTAGTTTCCCTGTTTCCCCAGGCTCCCACCTTCTTGAGGACACTATCCAGGGTCTCTGGCCGGCTAATGTCAAAGCAGATGAGCACAGCATCAGAGTCCGGGTAGGCCAGAGGCCGGACGTTGTCGTAGTAAGAAGAACCTGAAGGAAGAAAGAGAGCACCTGATAAGGTACCTGAGTGGGTGGCCGGCCTGGAAGGGGATGAGGGACTGAAGTGACCGTGGACAAGCCGAGAATGGAAAAGAGTGGCCCTTAATACCCAACAGGGAGCGTGTTTTGAGACCAGCAGAGGGGAGTGGAAAGAGTGGGATAATAGCTCTCTGCTCCTTTAGGGGTTTATCTAATCTAACAGTAATAATCTGTAACCTTTTGGAGTTTGTAAAACCTTTAAGAATCTCAGAAAATCTACCAATATTCCAACAAATTTTGACAGCACATGCTCTAAAGTCCTCCGGGGAACCTAGTAAAAATAAAAACCCTTCCCCGTGGGGTTGGAGCAGGGACAGGGAAAGAGTGTTCCTGTCCTCTGGGGACTCTAGGAGAAAAAAAAAAAAAAACACCCTACTTTCCACCAATGCCCTCCCCCCACCCCGAAATTCTAAATAGCTCTCCTAAACCCGTTCCCATTTCCTAAGAAACATGTTCCAAAATAAGTCATTTTTTTCCCAAGTTCCTTGGGTAAGCAGAACCCAGCTGCCAGGCTCAAATATTAGGCTTGCTACTTCAGAACATGGTTTCTGTCGGGCACAAGAAACTCTGCCTCAGTTTCCCTGGCTCAAAACTGAAATCGATGCTCTAAAATTGGATGGATGTCTGAGCTAACCTGGAATCTAAGGCTCTAGCTAAGGGAGGGGCTAGGGTAAGGGACATTGGCAGTCAGGGTGACCCCCAGGGACTCGGTCATCTACCTGAAGTATCCCACATGTTGAGCTCAATGCGGCGCTTGTCGATCTCGAAGCTTGCGGTGTAGTTCTCAAACACGGTGGGGACATAACTCTGCAGAGACGGATGGGTCAAAATGAGAGCTTCTCTCCAGTCCTCACCCTGACAACTGCCCTCCTCCCTCGACACCCGGTCCAGCTCGATCCCTAGACAGAAGTTGGTCTGAGGCTGGGCCAAGGGAAGATCCGGGGAGCTACTGCCTCCACCTCCACGGAATCCTAGGTGGACTCTCAGACCCCCTCGGGGTCCCTTTAGCCCTTAGTCCTTTCCCTCTCGGATGCCCAGGACCTCAGACATTCTCCCCAAGCGCCATCCCGGATCCTCTGATGCTCCCAAGCCCCATCCATTTCTCCGCGTCCCTTGATTCCTTCCACTCCAATCCTCTGCAGTCCTTTCAGAGCCCCCACCGCCTCTTTACCCTCCTCGGAGCCTCTTTCTCTCGTCCCTGGTTACCCCGGTACCGCTTTCCAGAGGCCCCCGGAGCCGCTGTCACCCGCTCCCCGAAGCCTCCTCGGTGCCCCTCTCTCCAGACGCCAGTTCCTCACCCCGGGGTAGGCGTCCTTGGCGAACACCTGCAGCAGCGCTGTCTTGCCGCACTCCGCGTCCCCGACCACTACGATCTTGCAGCGGCCGCTCTGCCCCTCCAT